TTCGCGACGACATTTCGACTCCGGGGTAACCTCTGGCACGAAACGAGAGCCTCCCGTTCCGTCCGGGAGACTCAACCCCTACGGCCAAAAATCCTCGGCCACGCCCCTCCTAGAACTCTGATCGGCGACCCAGTACGGGAAGCTGTGAGGGGGCGTGAGGTTGCGTATCACATGCCTGGCACAAGAAAGGAACACAGAGTTCCTCTCGGTTGAAGTAGGCTGGGTACAGACCGTGGCTATAGGTCTGTGTATTAGGAAGGGGGAATAACATAGGAATAGAATAGGAAGGGGACGGTACAGTAGACTCTGAGGTTAGAGGAAGTGGGTTGAACACTTTTGGCAGTTAACAGTAAGAGTGTGAGTGGATAATACTTCGAGATAGGTATTAGAAGAGTAGGTTGTGGTCTGTTGTGTAGAATTTCTGGTTTTACGCGAATAAGCTAAACCGGCTGATGCTGCTGGGATAACTCCAGGTTAAATTGTGAGGTCCCTGGCCTCGTTCTGAGATATTTTGTAATGACAAGTGAAATGTTTAAAAAAAGAAAAAGAAAAAAAAAGAAGAAAATAAGGTCGCACAACTCCACCCGCCGTCGCAATGTGCCCCGTAGTTCTGAAGACAGGAACAGGAGCAATGCTAGTGGGACTTGGCCACCGGGACTTGGCCCCAAGGTGATTGAACCCATGACCTCGTGAATGCCTAAAGGGGATTGAACCCATGACCTCGTGAATGCTATAGAACAACTGAATAAGAAAATCCCAGAGAAAAAGGCACGTAAAATGAAATATTTTAATCCAGCCTCTGTAGAGAATTCAGAATTTCGTTTTGATGCTGCGATAGGCCGAAGGGGTTGAACCCATGACCTCGTGAATGCCACTTGCATGCCTTACCAACTTTTTTTTTTAAATATTTTTATTACCAACTTTTATTTTTAAATATTTTTATGAGCCTTAGCAACTGAGCGCGGCCGCACCTTAGGGCCTCGCCACACAGGCTTTCGAAACGTGAAAACGACAAAAATGTGCCAGGCGCATCTGGCCGGCAAGTTCATTCTCGTTTTGCACATTTCGACAGCCTGTGTGGCGAGGCCCTTAGCAGGTATCGCACCTGGTTCGTCCACTAGCGAAGGGGATAGGATAGAAATCCTGAATCTGGCTATGTTTTATGCCGAGATACAGAAAAGCAGTTCTATCTCGATTTCCCGCTCCTGTCCTCAAACACGTCCAGATTCAGGCATTCAATCTGATGCTCTTTGCTAATGCTAATGGGACCACGGCCCTGCTCGTGGATTCACCTCGCCTGTTCCCTGGTTGGAGGCTTGAGCACTTGAAGAAAAAATAAAAAATAAAAAGTTATTCCGACTTCTTCGACATTCGTTCGGTGGAGGACAAGCATTCGTTTTTGCATTTTTTTTCTCTTCTATCAAGTCTCTGTCTTGCGCGGGCAATACGTTTGACGAATTTCACCTTTCAAAAAAAGAGAGAAAAGGTATTCCCCGCGTAGGTTAACCGCGGACGCTGCACTCCCGTCGTGCCCGCATCGGCTCCGTTCGATGTCCAAGCTACTGCCCTTACGCCGAACACATCGCATCCTCATGGCGAATGTATACAACCTATAGGTCCGGCCAAATATAGTCATATTAATGGTGCGTTGCGTTCCGGGAAAGACGACAGTGACTCTACTACCGAGGGATGCGTTAAGCTACATCGTCCACGTGTTACAGTTGAAGGTTTGTCTCTCTCTCTCTCTCTCTCTCTCTCTCTCTCTCTCTCTCTCTCTCTCTCTCTCTCTTCCCCCCTCTTGCGCGCACTCCCGCTCTCCCTCTCCCTCTCTCTCCTTCTCTCTCCCTCTCTCGTCCCCCTCTCTCTCCGTGTGCCCGTCTGTTTAACTCTTGACCCCCTTACTCACAGAGGAGATGTGGACAGAGGGGTCTCTCTCTCTCTCTCTCTCTCTCTCTCTCTCTCTCTCTCTCTCTCTCTCTCTCTCTCTCTCTCTCTNTCTCTCTCTCTCTCTCTCTCTCTCTCTCTCTCTCTCTCTCTCTCTCTCTCTCTCTCTCTTTGCCTGTGTTTAATTCTTGACCCCTTGATTCACAGAAGATAAGATACGTGGGTCGAGGGGTCTCCCTCTCTCCCTCTCTCCCTCTCTCTCACTCCCACTCTCCCTCTCTCTTTCTCTGTGCGTGTCTGCTTAACTATAACCCCCTCACTCGCAGAGGAGAAGATATGTGGAGCGAGGAGTACTGATCAATGTCAAGATGCCACGTGGCAGGCAGTTCAGTTCAAAAGAGGAGGAAGTTGAGGATGGAAACATTGGGCGGGCCGCTACGCGCTGCTCACCAAAAATGTGAAAAACGGACAATGTATCTTGGCTCAGAACCATAGAAAGGGATACCGGCGATAGTTTCTCTCTTTTTTCCCATTCGGTGGGTGGCGCGGTCAGGTCCATCATGCAGCAGCAGTAAGGGCACTTCGT